ATTACAGCACTCTGCAACCCACTAACCTCCCCCCCCCCTTTTTTTTTTTGTCAAAGATAACACACCACTTCTCTTTGAATGGTCTTTTACAGTATGTGTTAACTACTTATGCTAAACAATCTGTTCCACCTTGTGACGCTCTGCGGGCTTGTCTACACTTGAAATGTTACAGCAGCATAGCTACGGTTGCACCACTGAAGTGCTTCAGTATAGACATTACCTACACTGGCAGATTGGCGTAGGTAATTGATCTCCTTGGGAGGTGGTAGCTAGGTCAATGGAAGAATTCTTCCATCAACCTAGTACTGTCTACGCCGGAGGTTGGCTACGCTGCTCAAGACGTGTGGATTTTTCATATCCTTGAAGGATATATCTGGGTCAGCCTAACTTTTTAGCGTGGACGAGGCCCTTTCCCAGATCTGAGGTAGAGTTCTGTTTAGCTCAAAAGCTTGTCTTTTTCACCAACAGAAGTTGGTCAAATAAAAGATATTACCTCACTCACCTGGTCTCTTTCTAATATCTGAGGACCAACATGTCTTCAACAACACTGCAAACTTCAATGTTTCAATGTGAAACTCAGTTTGCTGAGCTGTCAGACAAGATTGAACACATTTTATGTGAATGAGGTAGTGTAAGATTAACTTGCTGCAAACATGTAGGTAACATGTGATCTCTGCACATTGAGGTTTGCTGAACGCTCCAGTGAATCCAGATCAATTCCAGGTTTCACTGGCTTATTAAGTAATTTAAAACAAATAGCTGGCTTCTTCAGTCTTTCAGGCAAAGGTAGTGTAGGGATAATTCTGTCCTTGATGTGACGCTGTTTGGGCTGTACATCGAAGAAGCTTATAAGAGCATCTGTCTGCTTTTTCAGAATATTTTATGCATGGCTATTTCTATCAATATTGTGTGTCTTGTGTGAGAAGGAAAAGAGATCTTATCATACAAATAACATTTTGTATTATCAGCTTTCATATGAGCTGTATCTCTATTTTAGTGTTAAAATCAGATGTAATGAGTAATAGAGAAATTAAGTATAGATAGGGCAGAAAAGATGTCTTCAGTTGCTACTTAAAATGAGAGAGACTGTGTGTGAGGCAGAAACCTAGATAGTTTCAGACTTATGTGCTGCACAGGAGAAAGCTCTTGCATAGGGTGCAATTGTAAGGAAAGGGCAGAGAGGAAGGTTGTTGCTAGATGACTTAAAAACCTTTTGAACTGGATGCTGAATGTACTGGAATGTTCCTTATTGTCATCCTCCTTCAGGCATATACAATTGTTTTTTCTGTGAACAAATGTGGAAATGAACACTTGAGTATATATAAATTTAAAATATCTGTCTATTGCTTCTAGTAACTCAGCGCGAGAAAACAAAACAAAGGCAAAAGTTAACCACTAGTAGTACATACTAATGATAGACTATTAATCTTGTTTAGAGACTGAACAAGATCTCCTGAGCGATACTTCATTTAATTGTGTATTGAAAACTATTATTGTTCCATACATGATACTGTTAACTATATTCCTTACTTTTCTTGGGGTGCAATACAAAATAGAGTACTACTTGCTTTATAATGGTGCTGTGGTAAATGCTAAGTCTATCACAAAAACAAAATATGTATACACTTATTTAGAAAATTATAAAGCCTTTGTAGAAATAGCCATTGGTTTTCTGTACAACCAAGGTGCAGTCTTTTCACCAAGTATCTGGTTTAATTGTTAAACTTAAATACAAAGAGTAAATCTTCCTTTCCCCCCCTCCTCTTTGCAGTATCCAGGCTACTTCCAATTTTGTCAATGCTTTATACATTCCAGTAGTGTAGTGATAGTGTGTGCTGCTGATGTCACTGCTTGCCTTATCAGGATTTTTGCTCTTTGTTTCACAGGGAGCTGTGATTGGTATAGACGATGAGGACGACAGTACCTTCACAATAACTGTTGATCAGAAAACCTTCCATTTCCAGGGTGAGCTGAAAGATGAGGTTCTTTCTTCTTGCAATAGATGTGACTGCTGCTGTCTATCTTCCTGTTTTGGTGTTCGATGGCTGATTTTAAATGTTTGGCAACTGAACTGCATGAATGAGCACCCTGGGAACATTCTGGATACAGAGGTGCTGCAGGTTAGGCAGGGATTTATATCTGCAGTGAATACATATGTGCTAGAAAAGACTGTATCTTTGGCAGGATTTGGTGATTAAAAATTTAAAGGATAAATCAGTCATAATGGGCTTCTGCTGATGGGTAATGTTGGCAAAACATTGCCAATCTTCATTGTCAGGATATATGATTAAGCCTTTCTGCATGAAGAGTCACAAGACCAGTGTGAAGGTTGCAATTTGTGTTTATTTGGATTTGAAACTCAGTTTTGAGGAGACTAGAGGCAACATTTGGCTTAAAGATGGATCTTTGCTTCAAGATCTGCAAGTTTGCATTAATTTCATCTGCATTTCTGTGTCTTGTCTGCCAATCACCATTTCTCTGCTCTTATCCTTTTAATCATATTTACTAACTCCAATGCCATCTGCCACTGCTATGTTTCGTCATTGCATGCTATGGTTCACCGGTAGAAAGGGTAAGGTACTGTATAATTGTTCTCATTGCGGTTGGTACAGAACCCTTAAATATCTTTAACCACAGCATTGGTAAATGTTGTCATGACATTTTGTTTTAAAGTACCTCTTTTCTCCCGTCGTACAGTTAAGATCATGTAGTTGTCTCGTGGGTTAAAACCTTCAATTAACATCTATTTGTCCTTCTCCTGGTACTCTCCCACCCCCACTACTTCTTTGAAATGTAGAGTGAGGGAAGAATTTTATTTATAACTGTCTTGTATGGAGTTGGAAAATGTAAGTAAATATTTCAGGGCTGTGTATGTGACAGCATTTACATTTGTATAACATTGGAATATATCTATAACCTTCATTGTGCTGTATAGATTTACAAATTAATATTTCAAAATCAGCATGCATTTTGAATTGTTAAGGTGAAATAAGAGCAGTATTTGAGAATGTATTTCTATAATGTCAAATGATAAACATTAGTCATGCACCATGTTTTTCATTGGCATATGTATTTTCTATGCTACAGTACCTCCTAAATGATATGGCTATACTCTAGCTTCACTGCATTAAGCTTCATAAACCTTCCCTTTATAAAGCTCTGCTGACAGCAAGACTTAACTCCTCTGTTCTCAAGGATAGCTGATAAAACACAAAGGTAAGCTAGTTTCTAATGTAGATAACTGAATACAAAACACTGGTATTCTTCAATGCTACAAAGCTAAATATTTATAAATATTTCTGTATGAGAGCTTGATGCAGGTAAAGGGTGAAACCTGGAATTCTCTTGTTTTTAGTTTCTAGGGAAATCTCTTGTGCAGGTTCCTCATCTGCTGTATTGTTTCCCTATGGAAGGCGACTGAAACCTCTTGAGAGAAGACTGTCATTTGATAAAAATATTAGTCTTGCTTATAATAAATTGTATTTGGTAGGATACTTAAACAATTCCTCCATAAGTACTAATTCTGTCATTCATATTCACATAGATATCCATGCTTTAGAACTTTAAGATGTTAAAAAATACATGTACATTTTAATCAGTTATCTTGTTTTTGTTTTCTAATTTAGGATCTATGTCCAGTACAGCAATTTCTTTCTTCGAACAGCTTTTTAAAAGTGCTTACATTAATTTGCTGAAGACTGTAACTTGGCCTATAGCCAGCAAATTGTGCTAATGTTAAGGAAAAAAATCAATGTACACCACTGACTCTGTATTTTCAATTTACAGTAAAAATTGTAATCTCACAGCATTTCAATGTAAAACAAATCTAGGCTTGTGGAAGTTTTCTTTTTTAAAACTATATATTTTTAAAATGTATAATACATATCCTATATAACATAAATTGTGTATTGTGTGCAAATATTGTGTGTGTACATACATACAGATAGATAAAATGCCTGGAATATTATGGCATGAAGGTTTTGTTAGGAATGAATTCGGGATGATTACATCACTCCGGAGTTGTGAAGTCATGACTGAGTTATGCAGATTTTTCTAAATGAGTTCTGATAAAACCTTTAGTACAATCAGATTTTATTATAGATTGTATATATGTAATCCATGAACACATTGCTCAGCAAGAATTTATTATGTTAGATGCACACTATCAGTATTTGTCAGCGCATGTAGTGTCTACACTTAAGCGATAGAGTAGTGCAGCTGCGGCAGTGCAGCTTCGTCGTGGTAGCATTTCAAGCCCTAGGTGTTCAGACCCTTGAAATACTTTGTTTTTTTTCCTCTGCCCACCACATATATAGCTCATCACTTAGCCAAGCTATATATTTAGTTTTTTTCATTTGGAAAGTCAGGCTTTCATCCCCTTACATCGCTTTGTTCAGTTTAGTGTCCTCTAGAATGTTAGTGTTCGGAAACCAATCTAATGAACAGAACAGAGTGTTCCAGGTGCAGTCTTGCCTCCTTAATATGTGACTTGATGTCTGTTGCAACTTGCAATCGCATTGTGGATGGTGGCGGTTGTTGGTTTTCTGGGTTGGTTTATTTTGGTGGGTTTATGTAAAGAAATATGAATTGTGGACTTTTTAACTTGGAAAAGATACCATCAATTTGACACTCTCTCACTTCTATCTGAAAATGTATTGTTTGAGAATGGATCTAAGGGGGCATCATCGTTTCACAGCAGGTATTTGCCATCCATGTTTCACTGCTGCTGTATAAATAAAGTTCTGAGAGATCAGAGAGGGTCCTGTACATTGATGTGAGCTGGACTTGCAGTAGCTCTTGCTCTCTGGCAGCTAGCCATGGATAACAGCAGGGCTTTAACCTCTTTTTCTCCTACCCCTCTCTCAACATAGTATCACAATGTTGCCATGAGAAGGAAGCATAAATGCACCGGTGCACCTCTTCTGCTTCTGTAGGTGCACTGTGAGATGGGAAAGCAGATTACTGCCTTCCCAGCCCCTCAGTTCCTTTCCTGGCTGCCTGCAGTCACAGTTGGGAAGGTAAAGGGAGTGGATGGCCAGGCACAGAGTTCTAGTGCATAGGGGAAGAGTACTTATTTAGTATGCGGTGAGGCTGTGAGCCCTAATCAACATTTGTGCTGGTGGGGACTTAGTTTCAGTTTATGGGAAGAGCAGGCAACACCAGGAATTGGTGGATGGGGTACAGCAATTGGTGGATGGGGTACATGTAGCCACTGTTAATGTGGGTGCCTGAAACCCCAGCAAGTAAGAGCAGGGTGGAAGGGTGGGCTCAGAGCCCTGGAAGGTTGAATTCCTGAGAGCTTCTGACAGTGGGAGGAAAGGCCAGTCCTTGCAAATGGAGGGAGGGGGTCCTTGAAGGACCAGCAAGAAGCTTGCGTAGTGGAAGAGGCAACCCCAGCAGCCTGGTTCAGGAGAGATGGTCAGCAAATGCCCAGCAAACCAAGAGGAAGCTGAGGGGAGACTCTGTGGCCCAAGCATATTCTATCCTGGGGGAGGGAGCTGTACTTTCTCACCTGCCTCTCTTGTGCTTCCATGGCTTGGCTTCTCACTCAGCTTCTGCCATCTTCTCTAGACTCTCATGCAGGTCTCTTCCCTTCGGGGTTCCTGTAGTTGATTATAGCAGTACAGGTGACATATTAAGGATAAGGGCCCAGAGGGCAAAATACCACCTAAAATGGCTATAACTGGAAGATTGATAGATTCCAAGGTCAGAAAGGACCATCTACTCTGACTTCCTGTAGAACACAGACAATATAGTTTCCCCAAAATAATTCTTAGAGCATGTTTTTTTAATTAAAGCATCCAATCTTGTTTTAAATATTGCCAGTGATGGAGAATCCATCACGATCCTTGGTAAATTGTTCTAATGGTTAATTACCCTCACTGTTAAGTTACCAGATTTAGAGACATTATTTTTCTAGCATTTATACCTTGAACATAGTGACTTACTGCTGTTGCCAATCATTTCTATGACTCATACCCTGCTATGGGAAAGTTCCCTCGTGTCCTCTGAGACTTTTACCAGCAAGAGCAGCAGCAGAGCTGAAACTGCAGCAATGACAAGCACGTGTGTGCACAGAGGAGGGGAGGAGGACTGGGTCTGAGCATGGTTAATGTTGTTCTGGAGTCTTCTGGCCAGCTTTTGTTTATCTGGAGTGGCAGTTGCACATTTGCCTCCCTCATGCTAGGTGAAATGTCGTTAATAAATAAGGCTGCAGGCAGTGAGCAGACTTCCTCTTCAGCTCCTCTCCTTAGTTCTAGAGGCTACTCCCAGAGCACCTGAGCAAGCAGCCAATTACTGTACGCTCATTTTCCTCACTGCTCCCTTTTCTGTCCAGTGCATCTCAGTGCAAAGTGGAAAAGTCTATACTCATACCCACACAATGAACAGACCTCATTGGGGCTGCTCTGGACTCCACCACCAGAGCATACTTGCCCATGGACAGATTTGCCACAATATCCAGCTTCATCTCTACGATAGAGCAAAACCCACAAACCAAAGAAGGGCTTGTCTTCAACTCCTGGGCTATATGGCAGCCTACACACTTGCTACACCCTTAGCAAGACTATGCTCTCAGTATCTTCAAGCCTGGCTGAGGACAGTCTACGTCCCCAACAATCAATCAGTCCAAATGGATGTCTATACTTCAGAGGGTCCTCCACACTTCCAATTGGTGAAAAGCTCCCCAAAAGGTCTGTGAGGAAGTGCCATTCTTGTAACCTTCCCTTGCAAAGACCATCACCACGGATGCATCCCTACTAAGCTAGGGCATATGCATTCAGGACTTCACAGCTCAGGGTAAACAGTCCCTGCAGGAGGTGACCCTCTGCATCAATGTATTAGAGCTTAAGGTGACTACTTATGCTTACCATCACTTCCTACCCCACCATGTCAGGGGCCACTCAGTCAGAATAATGATAGGCAATAGAGCAGCAATGTATTCTATTATCTCTGCAAGGCCACCACCTGGTCTCCAGTGCACACCTTTTCCCAATGCTATGCTCTCATACCTGTTTCCAGAGCCGAGACAGCTTTGAGTGAAGTTCTATAGTGCGTACTGAATCTGCCGCTTCCACACTCTCCTCCATAATCAAAGTATTGCTCTGCAATCTCCTGAAGTGGAGCACTTACAGGGATAACTCAAAGGAGAGGTTTCTTACCATGTACAGTGACTGGAATTCTTCAAGATGTTTTGTTCCTATGGCTACGCCACTATCTATCCTCCTCCCCCTCTGCTCAGAGTCTTTCTGTTTAGATTTCATGGTTAAGAAGGAACTGGAGCATCAGTGGGTCCACCTTCCCCTATATACTTTCACATCAGAGCACAAGAATGTGTAGGGTGCAGACCTGTGGACACCGCTGATGAAAATCTGATCCAGAGCGCACTAGTGCATGCACATCTTAAAATGGAGCACCCATATTGACAAAGATCTCAAATTCCAGTTACTGTACAAGGTAAACAACTTCTTTCTGTGAATTCAGTCTAGAAATTCAACCAAGATGTTCACAAGGCTTATTTTGATGTCAGAGACATCTCTCTATTTGAAGCCGTCTCCTAGATATTTTGACCGTTTCCCTGCTGTGGTTTTTAATGGTAAAGGTCTGTAATGTAGACAGGGCTGTATAAAATTATGCTAATTACACTATAATACTGGTAGAGAAGAAGAACAGGAGGACTTGTGGCACCTTAGAGACTAACAAATTTATTAGAGAAGGTTTTTCTGGGTGAAAAGCTTTTGTTTACAGGTTTTTATAACTTCTAAATACCTTTTTGGATGAACGTCGAACAGTGGCAAAATATTTTGGTAAAATAGAATTTTAACAATCTATATGGCTGTATCAGAGAAGGGTGCATGTGGTGCAGTTTGCATTACTTAACACTAAATATTGTTGACATCCCCCTAACTCCCTTCTTTTTCACTTGAACAGCTTTTATTAAAAACTTCAGGATTGAATGGACTTGGTGCAACCTATTTGTTTTGGGATACTAGAAAATTCATTTAAAGTTACCTGTGAAAATAGCATACTGTGGAATGCTAGCTTTTTAGTCTGATTGAATTGTATGTTGTGTATATGTACTTATTAGATGAACATAGATTAAAAGGCAATACAAGCTCACTTCCATAGAGGGAGGGAAAGATATTTGCTAGATACTCACGTTAGTAAAAAATCTGCCTTGATAGTCACCAATGGATTAAAATAAACGATTATGCATTGTTACATATTCTAAATGTCCCTTCCAGATGCACCTTTACCCCGATATAACGCGACCCGATATAACACTAATTCGGATATAACGTGGTAAAGCAGTGCTCCGGGGGCGGGGCGGCGCACTCGGGTGGATCAAAGCAAGTTTGATATAATGCAGTTTCACCTATAATGCGGTAAGAGTTTTTGGCTCCTGGGTACAGTGTTATATCAAGGTAGAGGTGTACTTCTGAAGAATTTTCCATTCTGAACCCAGGTTTCCAAACTAAAACATTTTGGTACTTGCTTTAAACACCCATGAATGGGGAGTGGATCTTAGTGTTTATCAGTGATTTGGAAGAAAACCGACTTCTTGCTGGTTAAGTTTTCAGATGAGACACAAATTGGAGTAGTAAGGAATAAGAACCAGTCAGTTCAACAGAGGAATTTGAATCATTGTGGTAAGCTGTGCTCATTTGAACATGCATTTTAATATATCTAGGATCCAAGAATTCCATATTACAGGATTGGGGACTGTATTTTGGAAAGCAGCGATTCAAAGGACAGGGATATTGTTAGATTGAACATGAGTTCCCAGGCTGCTGATGTGACCAAAAGAGCAAATGTGATCCTTGGGCACACGAGCAGGGGAGTTTCCAATAGAAGTATGGATGTGGTGTTGGGTCCCTCCTGGCCAATCTTC